TGAGTGTAATCACAGGTGTCAATGTAGTCCTGTAGCTGTCATTGCCTGTCATTTTTAGAGACTCTTACACCTCACTTGGCACAAGGGCTGTGTGTATATGTATGGCTGTACATATACATTCTCTGTCTGAAGATGGGGAGACTTTACAGTTCCAAACACATCATAAAATCCTCCTAATTAATTTCCTGCCCATGGGCTCCCATAGGATTACTTCAGTTCCTAAGGTTTGGAAGTTCAAAACTGGAGCTTGATTAATTGAACCTGGTCTGTGGGAAGGTTTCCTACATTTTCAATATTCGTAATGTTCTGCAGTTGCTGGAATCACAAAATTCCTGTTTATCGGTACGAACAGGGGTACGTGTGCCTTGGTTAGAGGGACTCCCCAGTTCCATAGGTGCTACTCTTGCCAGGAAAAGATTGCATTCAAAGAGAGCTGGAATTTTTTAAACTGATCTCTTGAACTTTATCTTTTATATGGGAAATGTTTATTGAATTATATGTTGGGGTTTTGAGTATCTTTGTGTCTGTTCAGATTGCCAATTATGAACCTACAGATTTGTACTAATTCATAATTTTAATTGTTTATGCAATAAAACAAGGAAATCTTTGATATAAATGACAACATGGGCTTTTTAGCTTTATTTTCATTACCCTTACCTTTGAAATAGAATAAATATTTGTTCTCCTAGCCAAGGCATCTTATAGTTTTATTCCCAGCTTTCTCCACACAGTTTTCCCCCTGTAGCACTTCATTGGAAATAGAGCACAGTAGGCAAACACTGGTGTGTGGGTTTCAGATTCCTGCTTTGTGCAGATCTTTTGCTTGGAATACAAATGGGACTAGAAGCTCAGATTTCTTTGTAGAAATTATATTTATTGTGGAGACCTTTTAAACTGGGTATATCCCTTCAACTCTCCTGTGTATCTGTTTCTATTGGAAGATTGTCCTTTTTCTGCAAACACAGCATGTGAAGGCAATTGCATGTTTTCTAGCTGGCAGGTTCTTCTTCAGGTGTCTGTGACCAATTTTTAGGTAAATCCTCTTTCCTGCAAACAGGGCTTTTACAAAGTGGAAAGGTGGCAAAAGGAGGGTTCAGCTGTTTTATGAGCATCACCATAAAACCAGGGCCAACCTTAGGATTCTGGTAGTACCACATGTAGATGTGACTTCACAGGTACACAGCACTGGGGCACATGCCAAGTGCTGTAAATGTGCTTTAATGTTTTGTGTGACCTGTACCTGTTGGAGGATAAAAAAGAGATCTTTGAACTTAAAGTCTCTCGCATCAGTTCTTTAGGCTCTCAGATAATTTTCAAGATTCTCATATGTTCCAACTATTTCTCATCTTTTTAAAGGGAAGATTTGCAGAGGGAAAAGCTGCTAGTTGTGATGTTTTGAAATAAGAAAGATAGGGAAAATATCCAGGATTTTACTTGTAGTACATCAGCTTGCTAGTGACATTGCTCTAGAAGCAATACTGTGTACTTTCACTCTAGAAATAATAATTTGGTCTGTGCATGTGATTATTTCAGCAGGGCATGGGGTGGAAGAGAGGTTCAGAGCAGGCTCCCATTGTCCTCTGGTCAGCCTCTGCAGGGCTTTAGCCTGAAAACAATCTCTGCTTTTGAAGCAGGCAGTAATAGCAATGATATATTAATAAAGTTGTATCTCTAAAGTTTTTCTGTCAAATACAAGAGACATTCCATTTGATAAGGAGCTGCTGCTGACATTTGATCCTTACATAGCTTTTGTCCATTCCATAATGCTCAGTATTATTGGAATACTATTTTAGTTGTCTGTCTGAATTATTTTAAGCATCCAGGCATAAAGATTACAGAACATGTATTTTTTGTTTTGGCCAGTCTGTACACTCAGTCTGACTTTCTGTGTAGGAATTCAATTTAGACTGAAAAATGGAAATACCTGCTGAAAAAATAACTGGGAAGTGATGCCAAAAGCTTGTTATCTTATTATTCTGCTTGTTATCTGAGTGAAAATCAAATGGAGCCTGCTTCTACATGACCAATATCACACAGTAGCTGTGGAGGATATCCTCAGCATTCTCACCAGATTCTGTAGCCATGCTCTTGAATACTACAGAGCTTTTACCATCTTTTATTGATTAGTTTTTGTTTTTTATTTCTATTAGGTGTATGCTGGGCTTTATGAAACTGTGGGTTTGTTTGTTTAAGGGCACATTTCTAACTATGTAGTGTAACTAAGAAGTATTAGTATACTTGAAGATCTTTGAGAATGTGGAATATTACACTGAGCTGATGCATTTGTGGATGTTGCCTTGAGTGCATTTGTGTGTGATGCAGAGGCAGAAGTTTGTTGAGCCATGTCTGACTGTCTGGGCTACAGCGCTGCATTCCCACGTCATTGCACGGAGGCCTGGCTTGTGCTCCCAGCATTTACAGACACCACTTTGGGATGTTGTGTGACTTACTTGTGGGGAACAAATATCCACTTCATGCAGGACATTGAAACACAGAAACATCCCTCTGAAAGAATAATCCCTTTTAATGTAACTGGAGGATGCTGCCTGTGGGGAAGGGAAGACCTCAGAACACCAAGGTTTGATGTCAGAGGGAATCATTCACATGTTTTGATCTTCACATCAGTATTTCCACCTAATTGGGAGTTTTCTACACTGAACAGCAGTTGAAATGGCTTCTCCCTTTACCATCCTTCTCTGTGAGAATGAGGAGTTGCTGTACATCCTCCCTGCTTGCCTGGAGTCCTCTTGTGCTGCTCTGGTGGAAAAGACTTGGGTTATGAGAATGAAAATTTCAGTCCTCACCTGTAATATCATCTGCCAAGACACCATCACACTGAGCTTAGATCAAATATTTAATTAAGCAAATGTTAGCCAAAAAGCTGACTTGAGCTGCTCTGTGACTTCTTATAGCCTCTTCCAGGAAAAAAAAAAAAAATAAAAAAATGGGGAGTGTCAGGACAAGATGGAAAGGCCTTAAGTTGAAGGAGGGAAGTTTTAGATGGAGTGAAATCATCCCTGTGAGGGTGGAGAGGCCCTGGCACAGTTGCCCAGAGCAGCTGTGGCTGCCTCTGGATCCCTGGAAGTGTCCAAGGCCAGGCTGGACAGGGCTTGGAGCAACCTGGTGTAGTGGAAGGTGCCCCTGCCCGTGGCAGGGGTGGAACTGGGTGGGCTTCACTCAAACCATTCTAAGATCCTGTGAATGTGCCTCATTTCCATCAGGCACTCCAGCTTTGAGGAGGGATTAAATGTTTACAATTAATTTACCGGCCACCTTCTGTTGGAGGAGAAAAAAGATAGAACAACGTGAGTAAAAAAGCAGGGTGGTTTATAGCAAGTTATATCCCATTTGCTCCCACTGTGTCTGAGCTTTCAGGCTGTCTGGAAGCAATTCAAGTTACAGATTCTGGAATTTGTTGCTACTTCGTGTTAAATTCCAAGTTCTTAAAGAAGCTCCTCACCCCTGCAAACTCATTTGTTTGGAAGCTGTTCTTTCAGCATTCCTGGCATGTAAAAGCAAACTTGAATCCTGTGCCTGGATAGGTGAAAAAAAGTGCTTTTTTCAGTGTTGCTTTCTTGGGGTGAATGGACAAAATGGTCAGGGAGAAGCAAAAATCTGCTCCAGACTTGGTACTGGACTAGTGTACAAATAGTTAACTCAGCAGCCTGGATGATCTGAATCTCTTCCAGGTGACCGAGTGCAGCTCTGTTCAGCTTCCTGCCTTTGTCCATGTGCAGTTTCGGGCTGGGGCTGCCTCGCCCTGCCTGTGCTTTCCAAGCAGCTGGGAATAGAAAGCTCCCAACTCCTCCTGCAGCACCCATGTCGCTGTCAGGAGATACTGGCTATCTTTGAGGGCTGGTTATTTTTAATTTGAAGATTTTCGTGATGATTTCTAAGTAGTCTGGGAAATGATGATTTGGCAGTTTGGGGTTGGCTGTTGATTTCCCCATTTGTATTGGGGCGGGTGGTTTAGCACTGTGACACAACAAATCCTGCTGGGGAGGGTGTTTTAAGTTGTAGTTGCTTAAGTGCTGATACCTGTTTAGTTGCCTGATCTGAGAAAACTCATTTGTTTATCGCAGGGAAGATCAGAAAAATAGTATGTGAGATTAGGAGGAATTCTGTGGGTGTAGTGTGTCTGTCACCTTCCTTTGGGCCAAAAAAGCTGATCTTGAATGGTCATTTTCACCCCCAAGGGGGTCTACATGCTAAAAAGAGAAGGCTTAAATTCACTGTGATGTGTCAGAAATCTCTAAAGGGTCCACAAAAGAAAAATAATTTTTGAAATATATGTTTAATAATCTAAATCAAAGTGGTACCTGTTGCTTCTGACAGCTTTAGCTGTGGATTGTGTCTATCCAGTTAATACTCAGTGCTATAAATTGTTTTCCTTGAGATTATTCTGTTTGTATACTTAGAAAAGCGATGAATGGAATTTTTTTCATGCTCTCTCTTTGTATAGCAATAGGCTTTCCTTTCCCTTTGGATTAGCTTTAGAGATGCCCTAATTTCTGAATGTATTTCTAACATACTTTCTCTTCTGGAGTAGCAAGTCTTGGGACAATTTGTCCTAGCTTTTCCCTGTGTTGAAAAGTAACTCTTATATTGAAAAGCAAAAATTAAAAGCTGTATTAGAGTCCCTTCAGTATAACCCTGTGTTGTCAACTGTGCTGCTACTCAGCAGCACTTTTTCTGTGACAATAAGTTTAATATAATTTAATAATTTATCCTTCCCTTTACTGTGGTTGTCACTGTGTCTGTACCTGCTGCACTGCCCTATAACCTCTGGGATGCAGGGAACACTCCCTTTACTTTGAGATACACACTGAAGTCTTTGCATTTGTATGCCTTTTTGCTCTTTTTCTTTTACCTTTTTAAAAATAATATGAGATTATAATATACTGGCTTGCTGTAACAGTGGGTAATCACCTAATTTGCACTATCTTTGAAATAATTTTCTCTCCTTTTCCACTCCATTTTCTTGTTGTCTTCCCACCCAGGCCTCCCTGTGGACCATGCCCAGCTCTCCTCCCTTGTGCTGAAGAGTCCCCTAGGCTTGAGCCCAGCCTTTCAGGTGAATGCAGTGGCTCAGGGCTCGTCCCCTCTGCTGAGCCCTGTCCTCAGCGATGCTGGCGGGGCCAGGATAGAAGAGGATGACGAAATGAAGAGGAAGGTAAGAGCACAGAGCTGGGGAGTGATGGTGCCATGTGGGGGGTGTTGCAGGTGTGAGGTGGGAGCTGTGCTTGCTGGCTGCTGAATGCTGATTGTGTTTTATCCTGTGGTGGCTGTGGCAAAACTCCGGTGCTGAAGGTTTGTTGGATGTGTTGCACTGGGAGTCCCCGGTGCCCTTGTGGCATCTTCTTGTGTTTTCTTGGCATGGCCACTGGGACCATCTCCCTCTGTTTTCAGGAGCAGTTTGTCAGGGCACTGTGTTCAAAATCCACCTTTTGTACCCCAGAATTCACCTTTTGTACCCAAGGAAACGAGCTCAGGTTGGATATTAGGGAAAGGTTCTTCACCCCAAGGCTGATCCCTGGACCAGGTTCCCTAGGGAAGTGATCACGACACCAAGCTTAACAAAGATCAAGGAATATCTGGATGATGCCCCTAGTCATATGGTTTATTTTCAGGTGGATTTGTAAGGAGTGGGGAGCTGGACACAATGATCCTCAGAGATCCTTATTTGTTAATGTATAAGGAGTTTGTTTCCTGGGTTCCTTCCTTCCAATGCAGTCTTGCCATGGTCTCATTGGTCCATCTCACCATACATTGTTCCTCCAGCTCATCCTTTCTGATCATAACAGGACCTTTAGACCTGTGGTGTTCCCCTTGAGCTGTGGAGGACCTGAACTCAGTGTGAATTCTCTCACATCCCTTTCATCATGGGCTTGGTCAGCAGAGCTGGCCGTGTTGTTGAAGTCGTCCTCTCCATGGCTCACCCTTCTCTCTGGAGAGAGGTGGACAGTGCTCTGGCCTTGCAGAAGCTTGAGTCTCACTTTCTGGAAAGAGGGGGACAGAAATACCCCCGAGTCTTGCAGGTGCAGTGAGTCTCAAAGCAGGAACAGCTTTGGGTCTTCAAGATGTGCTTATGTCTGGGTGCTGCTTTCTTTCTGCCTACCAGTGAGCACTGGTTGCTTTAACCAGGGACTCCCCCACATGATGTGGGGTTTTCCTCACCCCCATGTAGAGCTCAGGATTTGCTGCTTTTCTTCCAGTAGGATAAAGAAGTCCACCTAACAGTAGAGTACCACGACCATTTTTCTGAAAGACTCTGCTCTCCTTGCCTTGTTTGCAGAGAAGTTTGTTGGCTCTGGTGCTTGAGAAAGACCCAGGACCTTCCATTACAGTGCAAGGAAGGCTCCACTGTCCAAACTCAGCTCCTTATGGAGCCAGTGGCCACACTGGGATTTCCATACAGCCACAAAGAAGAAGAAACCACCTTGTGTGATTTTTGCTTCTGCTCTTCTGCTTGCCCCATCCAGTGTTCTGGTTTCTTACCTCTGTCAGGATCAGGATCCTCAGGCAAGAAGGTCACAGCCCCCTGCTCTTTGGTGTCTTCACCACATTCTTGGGCACCTCCAGGCACTTTTGTGATGCTGTTGAGAAACACCCATGGAGTGGACATGGTGTAAGTGCTTGCCAGAGAGAGGAGGGTTTAACCTGTAAGTGGGAGCTGAGCTGCAGACAACCCACCCGACTGGCAGCTTCCCTGTCTCATTTAGACTTCTTGAGGTGGAGTTTATAGCTTTGGCTGATCACTCTACTGCTAGTTTCCATAGTTATTTTAAAAATAACTCTTCTCATTTATCCTTACAGCTTGGAAATAATGAGCAGAGATTGTGTTAGCTGACTGAAATGTGAAGCCCAATCCCTTTCTGCCACATTCTGCAAGGCCTGGTGTTTTGGCAGCTTGTGTTCTCCTTCAGGCTGAAACTAATTTATGAGACTCCTTAGAAGGGAACTTATTTTTATTTTATTGCTCTTAATCTTGGTCAACTCCTGAGTATTCCAAGGATCTGATATCTATTCAGAGACATTGTTTTAAGTGAAACATACACAGGAGGAAACCAGTGTGAAATTGGTTACATTTCACAGGAGCTTTACAGCTTTGTTGTACAAGAAAAATGTAATCTTACAATATCTCTCTGACTAGAGCTCTGATTTGAAGGTGATACTGCTGTACTTCCACGTGGTTAATCAGGACATGTTCTGCAAACTCTCCAGCCCTCACAATGTGCTGTCTGCTTTTTGCTGCCATGGTGCTGCTGGTCCAGTACTGATACCTTGAGAAAGATGAGGCTTTTTTAAATTTTTAAATCACTGTGCTTTTCTTTCATCTCACTGGTAGATTTCTCCCTGTTTCTTTTCTAATGGATGTTGGTTGTAGCAGCCCACTTAAAAAAGGGCATTGAAGCTGGGCTTTTTGGGGGAGTTCCCCCACTCAGAGTTATTTTTAACACTTCTGAAGCCTGGTGTTTGAAGTGAGAAGTCAAACATTTTTGACCATTACAAGTTCAGAGTAAAACTCTTCACTCCCCACAAGCTGGGGTTGCTGCATCTGGTGAGTGTTGAAGGTTTCCAGGTGGGATTGTTTGTGCATTATATGGTGAAACACCAGTTTTTCCAAGTGGGGATCTTTGCACTGATGCCTGCTATGGTTGTAGAAACATTTTCTTTGGACTCTAGAAGGAGACTGCTACCTCAGAGAGTTTTTGTGTTTGGCTTTTGAGACATGAGCTGGTTTTCTTTCCCCGTGCAGAGCCTGAACAGTAGTGAAGGTGTTTGGCAGGGCCCCTGTGCACTCTGACAGCCTTTCCTCTCCTCTGGTGCAGGGTCTGCTCAGCAGCTGCTGCCAGCACACAGCACAAGGGATGTACTTAGGACTGATGCAAGACTGAAAAAAAGCAAGTTAAGGGCACTAAATTCCAGCAGGGAGCAATTTAGAAAGAGCAGGAACTTCTGAGAATAAACAGAAAGGGCTGATGTGCTGGGGAGGGAAAAAGGAAGAGAAGATGCCAGGAAAAATAAAAGCCCTCTTGTGCCCCAGGTTAGCACAGTCAGCTGGAGAATGAAGCAGGGACCTGCAGAAGTGTTCAGAGGTGGAGAAAAAACATGATCCATGCAGGCTATGAGAAGTGACAGGTTATGACCATGTGGTGGTTTTAGTTTTTAAAAAAGTTCTCCCATCACTACCTGCCTGTGTAGAAGTCGTGCTCCCATGTTTTCACACACCTGCATGCTGTGTAAGATTTCAAAGAAGTGCAATAAGATCCTGTGCATAGTCCAGCCATAGTACCCAGGGCTGTGCAAAAACATCTCTGACAGCAGAAACTCTCCTGCCATGTAAGGAACTGCTGGGAAGTGGCTCCAGGGAGGCCAGAAAAATGATGATATTTCCTTTGGGAAGAGGCTGCTTATGAAGGATGCCCACTGAGATTCCACAGTATATGAGGCTGCAGTCAGGTAAATAGTCCAAGGAAAAAAGCCAAGATCAGGTAGGACTTTGCCTGACAGCATGTACCTGAGACAGGTAGATTGAAGCTTAGGGGATGGCTATGGAGTGAGCAGGAGTATGTTGTCCTCTGCTTCCTCCAGAGAGTGGGCTGACATGTGGAACTATAATAACTAGCATAAAATAACCTGAAAAGAGACTAGACAGTGTCTCAAATTAATTATTTGAGGGTACGCACCTCTTTGGATTCTCTGGACTCAATAGAGAGGTTATTGAACAACCAGGAGAATGTCTCCTCCATGGGTAACATTGAGCTGGAGGATTGGGAAACACTCAGTAGCTGTGCTGACAGCACTGGAGGCATCTCAAAGTGACTCTATAAAGAGAATTTTTAATTAACTCAGAAAAACAAGGAAACAGAAGAAAGAATTTTCAAAGCAGTGTTTCCCTCAGGAGGGCAGAGATGGAGGAGACCAAATTTTGGCATAACTCAGTGGCATTTGGCAGAGAACTACAGCACAGCATTGTGAGCTAAGGAGACAAAGCAGTCCCTTACCTTGAAGAGTGACTAATTCCTTAACACTACATGATTTCTAGTAATATATGTTTTCAGAATAACACTGATTTTTTGTTGTAAATGCACAACATCTCTTGCCACAATTTCATTCCTTTGTTTTTCCATATCCATTCTATCTTCTATTTAAAGAGCAGCCCAGAGCAATTGTGCCAACAACTGCTGCAGTTTGATTTCCTTTTTTTCTTAGCTAATTAATATGGTATTCAAATGAGTAGCTTGAGTAAAAGCTGTAAGTGGAAAGAAAGTTTTGGAAAAGGACTGTTTGCAAATCTGTTGGGCTGTGTTTGGTGGTTAGAGAAGTGTTTAAAATCTTGGTATCTTGGATTAAGTGCTTCCATATTTTTGTAAAGTGGTCCCTTGATTTGAGATGGAAGTTCATGTAATGGAAGTGTCCAAGGCCAGATTGGACAGGGCTTGGAGCACCCTGGTGTAGTGGAAGTTGTCCCTGCCCATGGCAGGGGGTTGGAATTATATAAACCTTAAGGTCCCTTCTAACCTAAACCATCTGTGATTCTGCGATAATTGACATTATTTTTTAATACTCTAACAATATAAAGAATATTTTAAAGTCAAGTCAGTATTTGGGAGTGTGACACTGAAGGAAGAGATGTCCTGTTAGTAATGAGCTGCTCCACTTGCACACAGCAAGGGGAAGTGGGTGTGAGGTTTGAGCTGATGCCCAGTGGGAAATAGAGGTTTGTGTTTCAGTACTGACTGCTGGCTGTGTGTCCTTCCAGCGCTGCCCCAGCGACAAGGCTTACTTCATAGCAAAGGAGATCCTTGCCACAGAACGCACCTATTTAAAGGACCTGGAGGTTATTACAGTGGTAAGTGGGTTTGACTTTATTTTTTTTTCCCTTTTTATGATGATTTGTGATTGTTAGGTTGGAAAATCTTGGAATTTCTTCTTGTGATGTAGCATTAATCCATGCACCAAATAGCGGTCCCCTTCCTTGTTCCATACCTCCTTCTGTGGGAGAGCAGACACCTCCTCTGGACTTGCTCCAGCAGCTACATCCTGTGTCATCCTGATGACCTAGGCAAACTTTTGGTCTGAAAACTGAACAAGGAAAGCCTAAAAACATTTTGCAGGAATCCCTAACCTTGAAGAATGACTGATTTGTTAATATTACATGATTTTTAGTAATATGTTTTCAGGCTAACTCTGATTTTGTGTTACAACTGCACAACATTCAGTTTCAGTGATATCTGCCAGCTCTGCTTATAAGCTGGCTGTCTTCTCCATGGTTTTCCTTGGGAAGCTTTGAGCCTTGGAAAACTTTTAGCCTTGTGCCTTTGGATCTGTGAGCAGATGACAGCTGCAAAGGGCATCGAACCCATGGGGGTTTGAAGAGTTTCTTCTTGTTTTGTTGCTTCTGTTTCTTCCTCCTCCTTTCACTCAGAATAGACAAGTGAGTCCCAATTTCTAGTTCATGTGCTTCTAAAAGAGCTTTTTTGTTCATGAACTCCATGTTTGAGCACTGTGACTGTGCCTTTCTATAAGCTGTTGTTTTAATTTCATTAAAGAAAAGCTTGAGTCCCTCAATGCTGCGTGGCCTCAGTGGAGGTGTTCTCTGCAAGCTCATTGAGCACCATCTCACTCCAATTCCTCCTACAGGCTTCCCAGCACTTCTCCTAAAAGAAGGGGGAACAGCTCAGAAAAATCTCAGAGGATTTTTGTAATATCCCCGTCCCTGCCAGAAGCGGGGACCCAGAAGCGCTAAAGTGTGGAGTGTGACCTCAACGAGATGCCTCCAGCTGGGTGACTTGCACAGGGCTCCAGGCCTATGAGAGCAGTTTTATCTGCGTGGAAGTGGCAGCAGCTGGGGCAGCCACTGGGTAACTGACTGTCACTCAGCTGTCCCCAACCATCCCATCATTGCATTCAGAAACAAGCTTGTGCCCAGAGCCAGCCATGGGCCTCATCTTCCTCTTATTTGGCAAGGAAAAAAAAAATCCCATCTTTTCATTTTTCACAAATTACGTCTTCCCTAAATATTACATCTTCCTTCCTGCTTTTTCCCTGTGCATACTCTCTCCTCCCCCATCACTGCAGGAGCAGGAATTTTCATGCTAACAATGACTTTCTGAAGCAAAGGCACTGATGAGAATGTCTGGGTCTCTGGCAGTGGTTCCGCAGTGCTGTGATCAAGGAGAACGCCATGCCAGAGGGCCTGATGACGCTGCTCTTCTCCAACATTGACCCCATCTACGAGTTCCACCGAGCCTTTCTGAAGGAGATTGAACAAAGGCTCTCACTCTGGTAAGTGAGCAGGGGGGACCTTTCTATACATCCTCACGTCAAAACCAGACTACAATTGGCATTTCTGCATCAACAGGAGCAAGGAGAAGTCTTTCATGAAATTAAAGCTATAAAAAAAGTACAAACTACGTTGCACAAAGGCCATTTTCTAAGCTTTGCCTTGTATACAATATCCTGTAGTTGTATGACTTGTGCACCAGACTGAAGGTTTTGTAATCACAGGATCATTTCACTTGGAAAACACCTTTAAGATAATCAGTTGTTGATATAATCTGATAGTGTCTCTCAAGCCTTAGAAAAAAGAAGGAACACAAGATCAAAAAGATGATGCGTGTGGTTTTTTCCACACCTTCCAGTTAATGAATCTCCAGGTGAAAATCTAGGAAACATTTTTGTGATTAAGGTGGGAGCTTGGTTCTTGCAATGCAGTTTATTTTACAGATGATGTTTTTAGTTTTTAAACTTTGTATTATTTTCTCCTGACCTGACATGTTGTATATTACAGTATATAACATATATACTGTATATACTCACCTTTTCAAAAGGAGGTGATTGACATAAACAAAGTATGAACAAAAATAAATTCACAAAATCAGGTGGGGTCGTGTTATGACATTTATTTGGAGGTTTGAAACATAAAGACTTTCACACAAGTTCATTTCTAGTCCTTTCTCAGTTTGTTGAGCATGTCTTTGTGTTAGCTGTTTTGTGCATTTAATGTACCAAGTTTTCAATCTGAACAGTGAAATAGCGTTGTCAAATGCCTAAAGATTTTCAGGAATTACAAGGGAAGATGGAGGGAGCAAACAGAAATGTCTTGATGCACCATGTATGTGCCCTTCTCTCCTCCCTCTGTGTGTTCCAGGGAGGGCAGAAGCAATGCTCACGTGAAAGGGGATTTCCAGCGCATCGGAGATGTCCTGCTCAGGAACATGCGCACTCTGAAGGTACACACAGGACTCAAGATGTGGGATGTGGGATTGTTGAGGTGTTCTGTTTTGTTTTGTTTTGTTTTGTTTTGTTTTGTTTTGTTTTGTTTTGTTTTGTTTTGTTTTGTTAAGGAGCAGAGCTCAGGGTTATTATTTCCCTTAATCACAGACTCCCAGGAGGGTTTGGGTTAGAAGTGGCCTTAAAGCCCATCTCATCCCAGCCCCTGCCATGGGCAGGGACACCTTCCACTCCCTACACCAAGGTGCTCCAAGCCCTGCCCAGCCTGGCCTTGGACACTTCCAGGGATGCAGGGTAGTCCCAACTTCTCTGGGCAACCTGTGCCAGGGCCTCTCCACCTGTTACGGTCTGGTTCTTAAAATTAATAGAAATGGAAAAAAAAATTGAAATGCAAATGAGGCCATATGCCAAAGTCAATAGTATGGGCTTTATTTAATAGTAAATATCAGAGAGAGAGAGAGAAGAAAGAGAAAGAAAAGAGACAGAGGAACAGAAAGAGAGGGACAGAGACAGATTAAAGAAAATATCACTGTTCAGTACATCCCACCAGTGTCTTGATGATCCTGTCCAGCTGGTCTTCTTGATGGTGAGGGTCCCCCACAAAACATTGAATCCAAGGGATAAATATATGCTCAGGCCAGGTGGAATGCCCAGGTACCTCCCCTGGAGGGGGGATAACTCTTACACAGTCTGTTGCAGCAGACTGAATCACTTTGCATCCCATGCAGTCCTGTGGTGCAAGGGCACAGGAATAAGTCTGGGGAGCACTTTGGAGGGATGGATTATGACCCCACCCCAGCTGCTTCCCACATTCATGTCCCATGGATGTGGCCTTCCTGGGGTTGGGGGGGGTTTACAACTAATCCAGTTGGTGTAAGGGTGTTCACTGCCTCTGACAGGAGGTTTCACCACTCACACAAAACTCTCCTCCTCTCCCCTTTGTCTGGGGGTTCTGTGCAGACCTGGCCTCTTGGGCTATGGCCTCCCCCACCCAAACCCAGCCAGGAATGATTTTCTACTGGGTTTGGCTTCCTTGGGTATGCATTCTTTTCCCTCTGCCTTGTTTACTTCTCCCTAGACCCATGATTATTGAATAATAGTGCTCCCTTTATCTTATCAAGGCATCTTTACTCACAGTCCAAAGTTCCAGTCAGGCATCTTCAGGGAGGGCTGGGCTTCTGTGGCTGTAGCTTCTTTATACACTTTGGCCATAACAGGCAAAAGGTTCCTAACAATGTTTAAGCCATGAACTATCAGATTCTAGTATCTAACACCACCCTCATAGGGAAGAATTTCTTTCCAATATCCCATCTAAACCTTTTCTTTTTCAGTTGATCTTGAAGTAACTTGCAAACAGTTATTGTTGAGAAAGAATTTGAAATGAAAACATGGTAAAATAATTACAGGAAGGTTTTGTATCACTATTGCTTATTTAAGCACCTATATTTAGAGAAAAGCACCTACATTGAGAATAGGTGTTTGTTGGTTATTCAGCAGAAAACAAAGAAAAGTTATTTATTCAGCGCCCCTATTGAGACCTTGATTCACAAGGTTATTTAATTTAAAAATATACATATTTTTTAAGGGCAGAATATTTTTTTTCTGCAATGAAGTCAACTTTATTTGGAGCAGAGTGCCTATGTGGGACAGTTGCATTAGCAGTGGAGCTGCAGCAGTGGAGTAATTATTTAATTAAAACCAGTGGCTTGACTGGGAGTGCAGGAGTGTGGGACTGTTATTTCCACCAGCAGCATTTGATATTCCCAGCAGGCACAGGCACAATGCTATACAAACACCTATTTTGGCCTTGACTAGGAGCTCCCTGCCACGTCCTTTAATGATGAAAATGATGAAAGACTGTTCTCCTTTGATCCAAGTAACTTTTTGTCCAATTCCACAGGAGTTCACCAGTTACCTGCAGAAACACGACGAGGTCCTGACGGAACTGGAGAAAGCAACCAAACGCCTCAAGAAGCTGGAGATGGTTTATAAGGAGTTTGAGCTGCAGAAGGTTTGCTACCTGCCCCTCAACACCTTTCTGCTCAAACCCATCCAGAGGCTGATGCACTACAAGCTGATCCTGGGGAGGCTGTGCAAGCACTACACAGCAGAGCACCGGGACTTCGCCGACTGCCGCAGTGAGTGAGCACCAGTGGGTCCTGCTGGCAGCACCCTCCCCATGGACATCCCAAACTCTGCCTGTGCCCTGGGAAGACAAGAATTACACACTCATAGAATCTCAGAATGATTTGGGTTCAAAGGGACCTTAAAACTTATCTCATTCCCCTTCTACTATGGACAGGGATCATTTTACTAGACCAGGATGCTCAGAACACCGTTCAACCTGGCCTTGAACATTTGGGTTCACTTATTTTCAATAAAATCCACGATTTCAATGTAAGTGCTTCTTTATCCTGGCATTCCAGGAAGTGGTTTTCTCAATGCTTCAACCAAAGCTGGAACATTAGTCCTTTTCTTCTTTTCTAGCAGGGAATAAAAAGAGGAGGTTTTTTTACAAACTTTTTGTCATTTAGAAGTAAAAATATGACCAAAAAATGTTTGTTTTGCAGCATCAGAAGCTTGTGTATTAAATTCCATTACTGACAAAGTAATCTTTGGCAGAAGTAGTTTGGTTTGATTTTTTTTCATTTACTTTCAGCTGCATGGAAAATACTTTTTGTTTAAGCAAAATCTCAGATACACAATGATCTGCAGAAGCATAGGAAATGCTGTGCTCTTTTTACCCTTTTCTAAAATACACTTAAATTGTCATTTGGACTGGGTGATCATTGTAGGTTCCTTCCATATGAACCATTCTGTTCTAAAATTTGCCGTGAATTTCAGATTCAGTTTTTCAGGGGTGGAATGGGTGGCCTGGGTTGCTCTGCTCTGGTCCCACTGGTGCTGTTCTCCACACAGGTGCCCTGAAGGAAGTCACAGAAATGACCTCACAGCTGCAGCACAGCCTCATCCGCCTGGAGAACTTCCAGAAGCTTACAGAGCTGCAGCATGACCTGATTGGGATAGACAATCTCACAGCACCTGGCAGGGTAAGTGCCTCTGCTTAGTTTTTAGAGCCTTTCTTGGTTTTATTTCCAAGGAAGTGCCTTTGAAGTGTGGATTTGCCATCACTGCCCCTCTGGTCTATGTGACAACTGTGAAGGCTTCATGTAACTGTCTCTTCGTGGTTACCATGGATGATGGGGTCCTCACCTTGGTGATACTCTGAGGAATAGATAGAAAAGCTTCTGCTTAAACTCTGGCTGCAGTTTTATTTTCCAGTACAGATCCTGGCTGTACTGGGCTGTGGTGCTCTGTGCATGAGTGGGAACTGCTGTGTCCTACTGGAAATGCACTCCCAGCTCTGCTTGTGTCTGCCTGGTGCAAGCACAGGGAGCACAGGGATGATGAGAGCCACAGCACTGGGCTGAACTGGTGTGGGTGCCTCTGTATTACAGGAGCTTGTGCAGGTCCTGCCTGGTTTTTTGTTTCTTTGTTTTTGATAGATGTACTGGGCATAAATACAGGAGCATCACAATGTGCTTTGGGGATGCTTTGGCAGTCACTGCAGTGGGATGAAAGTGTGATAGGTGAACTGCTGGAGTCCAACAGGAATTCTGCTCCTTTCCCTTCTTTTTCTTCACTGATTTAAATGCTGGCTGTAGCAAGGAGCTGATTCATGTCACAAAAAAGGAAGAAAAGTGTTGTCGGGCCTCTTAAGAAATCTGTTTGTGGTCATTGCTGAGCACCAATCAACATCTGTGTACTCTGAGATCAAAATAAAATCCCTCAAGTCAGGAAAGATCAAACGTTGTTTAACTTTTTCTTTTCCACTGCAGGAGTTTATCCGGGAAGGTTGCTTGTACAAGCTCACTAAGAAGGGCTTACAGCAGCGGATGTTCTTTCTGGTGGGTGTTGCTCCTGATTTTTATAAACCCAAAGTCTTCAAGATAAAGTTGTTGGGGAGGTGTGTTTTCATGTGCTTGTGCTTAAAATCAGCACCTGAGACTGAAAACTCACTCTAAGCAATGTTTTTAGAGGGCGTGGTTGTGGTCAAATGGATTCTTTAATGGCACAGAGTTTTAACAGAATTTAAAAATTAATTTCCTCTTTTGTAAGTAAACAAAAGAGAGGTTGAAAAGGTAGTTGGCCAAACTGAGAAATAGTATTTTTCATGCATCTACAATGGCCTTTAAACAACAAATTTTTAAGGAGATGTCAAAAAATCCTTGGCCCTGCCTGCTGCTTTCAGAACACTGATTGTTCTCTTCCTGCCTTTCCAGTTCTCAGATATGTTACTGTACACAAGCAAAGGGGTCACAGGGACAAATCAGTTCAAAATCCACGGACACCTCTCTCTGCATGGCATGTTGGTAAGTGGTTCCATGTTGCACCACAAGGTTAAGGAAATGGCTTTGCCTAAGGCAGGCTGAAGAATTCCTTCAGGGCACAAGGACCAAAGCCACAAACTGCTCCAAGGCAAGTCTCAGCAGCAATTGGACTTGGTGTGTGTCAAAGAGAGCTTTCTTCATCTGCACGTGATGAGTCTGTTCCTTCCACATTAACAAAGCAGCTGGAGCACAGCCTGTTGCCCATTCGTTTTCACACTGCTACGAGAGGCTGATCTGGAAATAAGGATTTATTTATCCTGTTGTTTTGTTCCCCTGCACACACCTGGCATGTAATCAATCCTCCTGCCTCCCCACACCTTTTCTAACAGGATTGTTCTTTCTGTCTTTGGTTTGCAGCTGATAGTGCTGGACCCCCCGGTGAGTAATGAGGCAAATCTGCTCCAACCCCTTCCTTTCCTTGTCCTGCTGGAAGTGGTGCTGTGCCCCTGCAGTAGAAACACACCATAGATTTTCATATAGAGCCAAAATAGACTTGAAAGTAGGTGGTATTCATCAAAGAATTGCTGTTTTGCACTTCCTGCAGGTTGGAATCCTCTTTGACTCCAGTCCCAGCCAGCACAGTTCTAGTGTTTATTGGTGACTGAGCA